GGGCTGCTATCGTTTTAGTCGATGGTGGAAATCCCTGACCCTGAGCTACGTTGTCGATGAACAACACTTGAGAACTTGAGAATACATTATCCGAATGGTCTTGCAATTAGGTGTTGATCATCTACCATGTGGCTCAAGGGTTTCAACTTCACAGTTCCAATCTTCCTGATGAGTCCAAGAAAAAGAAAACGACTGTCCTATGTTCTTTGTTTGTTTTCACACACACACACATCGTTGACAAAAGGTGTAGTACAAATCAATAATAGTACCAGCTCGTTTTATTCGCCTGCAGGTCGTCTGCACCAAAACTTGGCGATTTCCTTTGAGCCTTAAGAAGCTATCTTGATTTGTGATCTTNTGTGTGTGTGTGTGTGTGTGTGTGTGTGTGACAACCATACTCCATTTGAATGTGATCATTCCCTGTCGCGCATGCGCACTCACAGGTATTGCTACACCGGTATGCGCGCTACGTGCATCTGTGTGATATTGATTTCCTTGTCCATACAATTAGTTCACTGATTCAGAAATATGTATGACCATCATCGTCAGTCCATCACAAGCTGGTCACGCCTGTGGTATGTTCCGATACACGTTCAATCACTCTGTTCTGAATCGCGGACACAAATGATGATCACGTGTTTTGCAACCATGTTCGTTTGGTTAGATGGTTTTGAATCAGTCAGGCGGCTTATGTTTGTCTTTCTTCCATTTCAGCTTGGTCTCTGTGTTGAGCAGTTTTTTCGAAAGCTACCAGGTTAGTGTGTACAATTGTTTAGTGTATGTTGTCCTACCTTGCTTCCTTTTTTTCACGTTTCTGATTATTATTCTTGATGAAGTCGACTAGACTGATACATTTGCAGCTAAAATGGTTTTCTCTCAAAGCGATCCTCGTTTCATGTCTGTTGCTTTTATTCGATCTGCGCGTACTTTCTTGGGTGGACCATCACCGACTTTAAATATTCGTTCGTTCTCTGACAGTCATTTAAAATACATATTTAATTCTTGGACAATTCCTCTAATAACATCACAAGACGAACAACATAGTAAACAAGCTTACTTTCGTAACTTTGTTCTCGAGTATTTCAAGTTGTGTTTGTTTATATGCATACCAAAAAAATAGACGCCATTGTTTCATTACGCTAGATTGGGAAAGAACAACATTCTCCTTCAAGTTCCATTTAAACACGTGCAAAGGGGACAGGGAAATTTCTGATGTCCATTTTCATTCGCGACGTGTTGCGTCATCAGTTCGGTTCCTCAAGGCCAGGGCAACTGGAGTGCGGCAACCGTTTTCTTCCGTCTACATAGCGCTGGGTTCTGGATTTTGTTTGTTTTTGCCGTTGTCAAGGGACATTGCCGACCGTACCTCGATTTCGCGTGAGGTACTTTATCGATGAATTTGAGTGCATCTAATGCCCGGTGTCCGTGAGATGGGCCAAAATCGCGCTGATTTATTTGTTCAGTCACCTCGTGCTTAATCAGGTGTGTTTATACTCTCTGGCTCTTTGTAAAAACTGTCTCATCGTTTGCCCTACATAACTTGCAAATATGTGCAAGTGGAAAAATACGTAATCATAGATAGGCAGCTTATCTTTAACGTCTGCACGGCGCTTTGGCTGGCTCGTGAACGCAGCACTTAGAGTGGCGGATGGATACGTCCGTATGATTGCTTTACACAATCATCTCAATAGATCGATACTCGGATCTGCTTTGAAGGGGAACTGCAAGAATAGTTCTTTCTTTTTGACCGTAATCGCTTTGGACAGTGATGTTTTTCTAGATGAAACGCTCAGACTCAAGTTATCTGGAGTGTGCTTGGGTTTGCCACCAAGTAGGTCAACAGGGCGTGCGATGTTTGTCGAGGCACGCAGCGGATGGATAAAGTCAAGGGTGGTCAAGATAAGACCTGGCCTGAAGGTATAAAAATCCTAACCAGAGGACTGGGTCATATAGGCTCCTTGTCTGGGGACCCCGAGATCACGGTCATCAATGGTTACAGACACTGAGCGATATGGCTGGCTGTCTCAAACAGTGGCGCTCATGCATCCACTTATTATTCCTGCAACAGCAGTCCATATTAATTCTCTATTTTCTGCTTGCATTTTCTCTGAAAATTCCAAACTTCATTCTGTGCTTTTATTCAAATGGGCGGCCAGAAGACAGCAACCAAAACCAGCGCACGAAAACGCATGGTTAATGATTGTAAAAGCTGAAACCGAAATCATTCCATGAGTTGTTTTCAGGCACGCTAGGTTTCCAGAGTCGAAACGTGGTGATTGCGCTGCCGAATCAGAATCGGAGCGGTTCAAACTGTTCGAGTGCATATGCAAATGTGGTATATTGCGTGTGTCGAGCTGACCGAACGGTGCACCGATTTCTAAAATTCTAATCAGAATGGAATAATGTAGTAGATTGTTTTATCGCCCAATCACGTGATCAAGTATTATAGAAAAATATGGTACCGGTAAACAGTACAGAACAAGACGCTTGTGATGGAAAGTATCACAGCAACTCATATATTGATTGACGAATTCCGATTGTAGAACGCTTTGTCCGTGATTTTTGACCACAATCTTTAGCACCTAACTTAGTTACATCTGATTCGTTTTTCTCTTCAAAGTCAGATGATCTTGGATAGTGAAATTCTCTCCTGTCCTCACATCCACATCTCCCTTTCGTACAGAAAGACCGATAAACCTGTTACAGCATGCATCCGACTCTTCTCGGGTTAATGTCACAGTTGTTTCCGATTAGTGGGTGGCGAATGAACTAGCTGTTCACAGTGATAAAAATTCATTGCAAGTCGAATAGAAGGTAGCTGGCTAGGAAGCTGAACTTATCCACTTGATCATTTCCTTTCGCGGATCAATGGCACGTTTAGTTTTCATTCCGTGCTAATCACTACTCAATAGCTATCAAATGTGGAAAGTAACGCATTGGTTGTACTGTTATCTCATCGATCCTCGTGATGATCATGCTATACCCGCTTGATCATCATAAAACCAGATAGTAGTACAGACGTGAGGCGCACATTCGTTTACAAATACACTCAACGGTCTCACGAAGGATGCTACGATTCGGTCATTGAATTAAATTGTAGGTGTAGTTGTAACTTCTGTAAGCGTAAAGACTATATTACAGTCGAAAGTTCACACAGTGGAGAGAACATAGTCAACTGTCGAAACTTTAAAGAAAGTCGGCACAACCCTGTTCTTTGTTACATAGAATACGTGCTAAGGCGGATACCGTAGAGTGACGATATGTTTATACTTGAGGGAAAGCAACGGTACTGGGATCCAGTTGACACATGGGAACGACAGGAAATTAAATCTGTGCGCAATGTATGAGCGGGATCCAAAAGAAGCGCGTGCAAAAAATTTTCACATGCATTAAAATGACGTTCACACGGATTGGTTATCAACGTCTCCGGTGGGATTAAAGTGATGGTCAGTCAACGTCGGAGCAGCTCACTTAAGAAAAAAAGCACAAGTGCATTTTGCAACTCAAAGGAAGATAAACGAACCGCATTCACAAGTTTAAAACTATCATCTCCCTAATCCTGTGCGTTTCGACGCGTAAACTGTCAATTTTTAGTCGATTCCAATGGAACCGAGAAACGCCATTCTATGAAGCGAGTGAATTAAGATGTCTAGGCTAGATGTGGCCTTCACTTGCAAAGATCCCATTTTGATGAAGCTAGTACGTGACGGTGTTTCTATATTAGAAACGCAGTGTGTCTGTTCTTCGGGAGTATGATAGCCTGCATGCGGTTCTGCGAAAGGTAGTCATTTCGGCACACTTGGTATTGCACAAACTGTTGGCAAACTTTAACAAATCGGATTTCATCGTGTTGACCCATTTCATTTTCTTTCCTTCTGTTGGCAGAAAACCCAAGTCCGTTTGGCCTCTGACGAGGATCTCAAGTTTTCTGATACCCTTCGCTACTACGCCAGCGATGCTGGTGCAGCTAAGGACTTGCTGTATCGCCGTAGCCGTGCACTGGCTGACTACGAGGCAGCAAATCGCGCCCTGGACAAGGCCCGAGCCAAGACCAAAGATGTTCAAGCAGCCGAGGATGCCCAGTTCGCGGCAAACGACCGATTCAAAGCTATTTCAGACTCTGCTCGTCTGGGTAAGCGAACACCAATGACCTACATCAAACTGGCTCTGTTAGTTCTGTTTGTCATCTGCATGCAGTCTTGGCACGAACGATGGGGCTCTTACGTTTGCTCATTTATCCTGTTTACCTATTTCTTCTCATTTATCCCTTTGTCTCGGCTTTAAACTAGTAGATGGATTTATGGAACAAGAAAGATAGCACCTGTCGGTGTTAGGCCTACATAAAACACTTCGCAAGCTAACAAGCTCTATGTTGTTCCGTTGGTATGCACTTTACACCTCTGGATCGCACCCACAATATCGGGTATTTATTGTCTTAATTAGAAACTCTGAATGTACTATGGCTTCGTTACTTCTACTTAAAACAATGATGATCTGGTCACGGTAAAAGAGCTGATCTAGAGCTTGTTGAATAAATCCAATTTGGCGTTGGTCACATGTCCGTTTGAAGCTGAACTGTTGCATTTACTGTACGCCAGTGTGATCAGTACTGCTTTATGGTTGTGATCGGTTGAGTTTGCTTGGGACAATCCATGCGACTGGTTTCAGTTTCAGTTTCAACAACCATTAACCACGCATATTCGAGCGCCGGTTTTGGTTGCTGTCTTTTGGCTGCCTATTTGAATGAAGAATGGGCGAAGAAAGGAAAGTTGAAAGTGGAGTCAAAAAGAAAATGGAGAGGTTCAGTGGTCTAAGATTGCAAAGAAATTGAGGAGATGCACGAACGCCACTGTTTACGACACCCAGCCATATCGCTCAGTGTCTCTAACCATCGGTTACGATCATCCCGAGGTCCCCAGCCAGGGAGCCCAACAGGACATATGTGACCCTGTCTCCTGGTTAGGGTTTTCATACCTGTTGTGTCCGGATCTCGTTTGATCACAATATACACACAACAAGATATCACACGATG